CAAATTCTTGTCGCTCCATACAGGATTTGTGGTGAAAGAAGGGGGGTCGTGACGTTTCCTCGGGGTTCGACCATTTCCCTTGTCCCGTATTTCCTTGATCTTCCGCTGCTTACCTCTCAATTTTGCGGTCGAGCTGAGTTCGCGTGGAATTACCCTTATATATTTTGTGAATAGAGTATTACATTCACAAAAAATATTATTCCAGGTATGACTAAATACCATGCCGTGATTTTTGTAATGGTACTTTCGATACCTTAGTAAATGCTGCCCATATTAGTTTGTCAAATCTTTCTATTGGTTTCGGAAACATAAGGGTTATTGCAGCAAAGGAGTACGTTGCAACTAATGCAGTAAAGTATTAATGGATGTGTTTCTTGTTTAATTGGTTCATGTACATATCTTATTTACGCGAGAAAGAAATTCATTTTATCAATTTTCAATATATTTTGAACTTTTTTTTCAACGAATTAGTGTCACTTCACTTATTTTCCTAACCAAGACTACCTTTCAGTTTACATGTCTTCATTCCGAAAGGTCACTACGTTTTATTTAGAAAAAGTTAGAAATTATATGTAGAATTAAGTAGAATAGTTGAAGTGAGACATTCAGTTCATATATTTATCAAGGAATATACTATGAATGAACAATCTTTACTTTCTGGCATACTACTTATAATGTTTCAGGAAGCAAAGTTAATGTTGGGCAGAAAAAGTAGTGTACGTCCCCTGATACCGAAAATGTTGATAATTTTTGTTTCTGCTTGTGGTAAATTACTTCCTCTAACATGTGTAGAGGCACGTTTTGTGACTCCTTGATACTGAAATATTGATTTACGACAAAACGTATGTCCTTGCGTCCGTTCGACCGCCAATCTGACCGTCTGTGAACAACACAAGCGGCTAAAGCGTGGGCAGAATGTTCTCCAAAATTGATATTATCCGTTCGATCTGGCTGATATCGCGGCCTCTAACGTATAACTCTGATTTTGGAGTACATTACTTGGAGTTCAGAGGACATGGTGTTAGAGCGTTGTTGGTTGACGTTGAACTAATTTTTTAGGTATGCACCATACCATTTTTTGTTGTTGATGGGAATTGTTGTGGCACTTTAACTTTCGTCTGAGCCCCGAGTACGGCTAAGGAAACGCTTCGCTGCACGTGGATATCCGTACTGTGTGATTGTGGAATGAGAGAGTACTGTAAGTGAAGGTTTTTCACTCTACTTTCTTTCGACAAGAACAATTCTTCCAGTTTAATGAAATGTTATATGCTAAAAATATGACAGAATAGTAGTGTTACACGCACATACACGCACATACACGCATACCAACACACATACACCCACACATACACACATACATACACGAATACACACATACTCACACATGCACACAGACATTAAATATATTTTGGTAAATGTAACGCATTCCCGGAAAATTACCCCCAAAGACGTGAACACGTGTCTTGCGGACATATGTTTTCTGCATTCCGATTGAATCTGCTTCTTTATGTTTCCACGAAGTACATCTCGATAACAGGCTGTTTTTTTCAATTTTACTGGGAAAGAGTCGTTTTATGTTGAAAGACGTCCCCATCTTCGCATTTCTGTATTTTAGGTTTTCAATTCAGACTAACGAGCCCTCTTTCATCTTTGAACGTCGCAGAGGCGGCTGAGGCTGCGACAAACACCGACGTCAGTCAGAGGGGACGGCGCCTCAAAGGGAGGTCACACGCGAGTGGCCGTGGGGGCCGTCGCAATCCCACGGCCCATGAGCAGGCCGAGGCAGGAAAAACATATTTTGCGGAGTTCTTAAAAAACATAAAAAACATTCAGAGCAAAATCACGTGCGTCTTTTTCTTGTTCCTTCGTTTGTTAGATAGAAAAATTGACGTCTGTTAAAAAACATATTATCAGCAAATGATATTGGTAATGAACGTACGTATTTCATTACTTCGAATGTAATGTAAAAATGCCTGTATGCCGTTGGCAAGTGCATTATACACCTTCGTATTAAAAAAAAACTGACTATGTACAGTAAATTTTCAAATTGTTATTGAAGAGTAATTTCAGTTTTACAAAATAATTATCATTTTTGCAGCAAGAATAAGGGATGTACGCCTAGTTGAACACCCAGAATTCCTTCAAAATTTACTAGCAAATGTAAAACATGAAAACGTCTCGCTAATGCAAACACGTTGTCGCCCGACTTCTACTTTACAATGTCATCTAATAATAATAATAATAATAATAATAATAATAATAATAATAATAATAATAATATGATTATTATTATTAAGTTCTTTTCTTTTGAACAAAGCGTCGATATATATGTATATATATTAATACACACACACACACACACACACACACACACACACATATATATATTCACTTATATCATATATTTCACTTGATCATTACTTTTTTTGTCCAGTTTAAGTTTAGATAGTCAATTGGACATATTGAAAACTGGAAAAATTATAAAAAACGATAATTCGTATTGAAATTTTGTGAAAATTCATTGTTAAATTATTGAAACATAATTATCCCTCTACGTTTTGAGGAGCACTTTTTGTTCTTCTTCAGGAGTCTATTTAACTATAAACAGAAATTATTATAAACTAAATTACAAATTTTCTAACCTTTATAATTCAAGTAAAGCAAATTGAATTATATTTTATTAAATATGTACTAGGTACAAATTAACTCATCTTAAAAAATTAAGTCATTCCTTTTGAAAATTCTTTCTTAATTTTTACAAAAGTTGCATCTTTAAAGAAGTAAAGTACAATATATGACTGTCTAAAATAAAACTGGACGAAACTATCTAAGAATAAGTGTATAAAGAGAGTCGAGGATAGTTTTACTTGATCATTTAGCTGACTGACCTACAATAGATTATATGTTTCAAGTATTCGGTGATACAAATATGTATAGACTAATAGCACATAATGTCAACCATTTTATGGTGATTTTATGATTATATGGATGTATTCATGACATATTAGCGATTATAAACCAGCAATAATATAGCAATACCTGCATGCAGTATCTTTCAGACGATGAAAAGGTTTGAGAGACGAAACTTTTTCCTTTCTCGACTGCCACGTGAACATCTCGTTAGGCACACAGTGACTCGGGAAGCGGCAGAAGATTCTTTTTGAGAATTCATAAAAGGTGTTTTAAATAGAAGGCCGCAGCGTCTCGGAAGATATAAAAACTGACCGTGCTCAGAGTCTGACCATTGCGTTTCGAGCTGAGGTGTGGAACAGTTGGACCGATCCTTCCAGATCACAGTGGTCATTCCTGACAAGTCGTGTACATTCTCTCGGTTGTCAATATATTACAATTAGTGAACGATTTGTAATTCTTCCGAGAAATTAGTGAACTAATTAGACAAGTTTTCTCCAATCTCATCAATATTACGATCATATTTAATTGACCGATCTTCGCACTTCGCGCTTTCTATAATCCAGACATCATCAGTGCTACTTAGTCAACGTGTGCAGCAAAGGTACGTAAGGATGAATCTTGTTAAATTCTTGTTATTTTCGAACACATGGCGATAAAATCGGAATAATACATGCAATGTAGACGTGGCACGTAAATGTGCCCTAATTCGCATGTAGAAAAAAAGCCTTGGAAGTCTCTACTCACAAAATATCTGGAAGAACGTTTGAGATCAGAGATGTCTCATTTTGTGTGATCGTGATTTTCAGGTAATCAAATATTCTTTTCCAAACAAATTTTGATATTGAATGATGAAATTTTGCATTAAAATTGAATATTTCAGAATATTTAACGTCTGTAAAGTGGTGAATTTCCAATACTAATCTTTGAATATAAATTGATAAAGAGCATTCAACTTTAAGAAGATATTCTGCATATGTTTTTCCTGTATTCTGGATTCGAACTATTTTTTTTCGATCTGATAGTTCCTGTAAGTAGTATTGCAATCTAAATTATTCTAAATAATTACTTTGTCCTGAACATTTTATCTTCTGACTTTTTAGTCTTATCATTCTGTCTTAACATTCTAGTTTTAGGCCTGGTGTTCCTTGTTACGATCATAATATGCGGGTTTTGATTTTGATTTGTATCTTTAACTATTTCTGGAGGGAGTTCGTATTGTTTATCGTTTATGGTGCTCATTGGTTTTAATTTATCCTTTCTTGTTGTAGTGTGTATTATTGTGATTAATTCGTCAATTGATTGCCCTATTTCTAATAAGTTCAGAATAATTTGGAATTTAGGTATTGTTGAACTAATTAGCGTGTGAATTTTTTTCCTGATGACTTTTAACGTATTTGCTCTTGTTACTGAGGCGTGCTTTGGGAATATTTGTTATGTAGTTATTAAGACTGGAATGTGGTCCGAGTCCAGCTTGAATAATATATTAATGTGTAGCAATATCTGAATGATTGTGATTATGGTAGCACAAATACGGGGCTTTCTTAAGCGATCATGTGGGTAATATGCGGGACCTGGAAGATAAATTATTTTTAGAGAAGTATAATTATTATATGGGCTAATATTTTATGATTAGCGTTGGTATTCCAACCATCCCAGTAGGCATTTTTGATATTTAGTTCACCTAGATGTAGCGTTTAATTATTTAGTCGAAATATTTTGTTAATGCTGAGGAGATCTAGTTTATGGTTTAATTTTTTTTTATTTTTTTTTTTAATTTATTTCTTCTCGTTCGACCAAAGGTCTTTCGAGGGGTTTCGGTTTTACATACTGACATTTTGGGATTTGGGCATTCCTGACAAATTGAGATTAGATACTCTGACTCGTTTAATTCGTTGGTTTGCTTGTAGAAGCAGCTGGGATTTATTTTTGATTTTTTTTTGAGAGGGGGGGTAGGTTGTTAGGATTGCCCTATCGAGCAATAGGAAGGGAACGTGAAAGATTCTATTTAGATACGGGATGATATTATTGGTTTAGGGAGGTTTAAGCATGTCATGATTTAATGAATTGTGCGCTGGAAAGATAGTCCATATATTTTTATTAATTACCAAGTTAATTGCAACTTTTTCTATATTAATGTAAGAGAAAATAGTCAATGCAACACCAATTTCTCAGAATCATTAAAATGTTCATATGGCATTTCAAAAACCCTAATAACAACTTTTCTCTATATTTCTCAGGTCTTCCACAGAACGTTGTACCAAGCCTTATGCTACAAAACAAAAGAAATATGCACTTTTTATCATCTTCCGAAAATCATTTCTATCTTCCTCAAGAATATAACTTTTGCCGTTACCATTGATAACCATCACTCTAATGCGAAAGCAGTAAAAGCAGGCCTACCCAAGGCTTCTCCGTTATCCCCCGCCTTAAATAACTAATTATACGTAGAAGACCTTCCGAAACATAATATATTAACAGTCCAATTTGCGGCTGATGCGGCCATTTATTCATCAGGTCCCTAGATAAAGACAATAAAAGCCCACCGTCAGTTATATCTACGCGAATTCGAAAGCTGGGCAGCCAAAACAAAATTAACATCAATCTGACAAAAACAGCAGCCAAAATAATTCTTTAAGACCTTACAACCATTAACATTGAACCAAGGACCTTTAGAATGTCACCCTTAAAACAAACCCATTATGTAGTCCCGTTACAAAACCCATTACATATCTAGAACATTACTTGGACACCCACATAAATTGGATACTAAATCATATAAATAATAAAGTTATGTAAGCAAACATCAATTTAAATTGTAATATTGTCCGTATCTTTCATATGAGCAGTATATACTGACCACATTTTAAAGAAACGGAAATGTTGCAGTCATTCATTTAAAATAACAGTCTTATTTATATAACAAGTCCAACTGTTGTAACTGTTCTTTTGACTACCGTAACTGTATTATTAGTGTTACATATCCCATATTTGCCATACATTTCCTGATGATAACACAATCGTTCTTCGAAACCTATCTCCAATATTGTAATTTATCATGAATTGTCAGCTAATATATTTGAATTGATTCAACCAACTTTCTTTGAAATATGGTCAATACGTAGTGTTTAATTTTTGTATAAACCAATAATAAACAGATCTGCTAAATTGCCATAAATTGACATATTCATGCCTAATATAGATCAGCGCTGGCAAATCGAAACCCCAAGTAGTCCAAAATCAATTCCTGTGCATTACGAATACTACTACATCACGAACATAACTACATGAACATAACTTCATCTCCCATGCACAACTTCACAATGAATTCTAGTTTGAACTTGTAACCAACCACATAATTTTCTTATACAATCATTTCTTTCGACACATCCCAAACACACACAACCCAACCCTTTTAGACTTCGCCGAAATCTAATACACAGAACCCGTATTAAGATCAAATTTTCGTTTCACTATCCTAAACAAATTCTCCGATCTCGATCCATAGTAGTTATCTAAAGATACATCTACCAGGTTAAAGGTATGAAAAATTATTTTAAATTAATTCTAAATAGATTTAAGCAATTGTATTAAATGTAGTGTCGTAAACACTGAATTTTGTATTGTACAAAGTCAAAGAAAATAAATAATTAAACCACAGAAAAGTATTGTAGATAAACTGAATACTCGGATTAATGCAAGAATCTTTCACATAATGCTAAAGAGGTGCAATTAGATTGTGACTGAGCACATAAGATGTCACGCAACGATCTCATCCGACCCTCGTAGTATTTGGACGAGTGGCTGGCTGTGTAACTTTTCCGATACGCGTGAAAGTCGTGTTTTTCATCGTCGTCTCGAGGCAACTGTAGAGTGCAAACAGTTGCCCGTTTCTTTCTCCGCTTGTTAAGGGTCTTGCGACAGGACAAATAGAAGGCCGAAGACGCCGCCTGTGTGACGCGCTTGAATCAAGCGCCTCTACAGGGTCGAGACGAATGAATGGGGGGCAAGGAGCGAGGGGTTGGAAGGGGAGAAGGGATTGGACGGGGCGAGTGGCGGAGGCCGCGGGGCAGGATACTTGTATAACTCGCGACCTGGCCCGCGTCCTCGTCCCCACCCTCGCCCCCGCCCTCGCCGCGGCTGCCCCTCAAAATTAAAGAAGACCTCTTGAAAATGCCGCCGGGAAGGTGGTCAGAGCGCGTGGCCGACTCAACCGCTCGCCTTCCAGCACCTCGAGGGACGAGCCGTCATTAGCAGGGCTCGGATTCTGATGACATGTCATCCCTTCATTGGTGCATTCTAGACGTAGTTCACTTGTAAATGAATGTTTATCACTACATATAGGTGTTAGAAATGCATAGTTATTGGATCGTTTTTTGGCCTTTTTTGCCAATTTTTAATTTATGAGTCATGTTTATGGACCTTTGCGTCGTTTTTGTCGTTTTTACGCATTTTGTTTCGTTTTTGTGTTTTTTGTTAGTGAATCCTACATGAAATTACAATGACACTCAAAAAAGGTTTTATTGTATCATCAGTTCATGACAAAATTAACTTCTGCAGTGGGTAATGCTTTTCTCTCTAAATTACACGGATCTGCGGTAACTTTTTCAACATTTTAAAACTGACTGTTGGAAGACTGGAGCTAACGATTACATTTCCTCCTAAAATAAATACTTTATATTGAATATAATTTTTTATAAATACATTTTATTAAAAATTGTTAAATTCATTGAATAAATAAACATATTCCTACAAATTTTTGTGTATTTAAGAAAATTCAGACGTTACCCCCCTTATTGTTAAGTAATTTTATAGGCCAGTTTCCTCTTATTTTCAAGTAATTTTATATGTCTTTTTCAAAGAAGTTTTAGGTCATCAGAATCCGATCACTGATCATTAATATGCCGATTTGGTTGAAAGATTTCTAGACGATGCTCTTACGTTGGCACTCTAGAGAAGTGTTCCTATTTTGAGGAACAGCTAGCTACTCGGTAAAAATAATGTGGCATATCCATAATTGGGCGTTTTCCGCGTAAAAATAAAAAAGAATTTCGCGGGCGTTTTGAAGTTTAAGAACATTTGAATTACTGTTATAGTGAAGAAGGGAAGAACTAAACGACCACCATCGCTCTTGTGAAGAAAATGTTTCGTATTCGTTATAAATGTTTTAGATAGGGAGGATTAATGCATGTTAATAAAGATGCTATTTTACTGTTGCTGTTTTTTGCAGAAAAATAAGAACATATTAAATTATTTTAATATAGACGCATATCGGGATGATATCGGTATGATTGACATGTTTTAATTGTATTAAGCACCCATAAATTTGCGAAATGGTGGATGCTTGAAACCATTAAGTTGGTATTCAAATCAGAAGTGAATGTGTTAGTTTCTCCTTCACAAATATGGCAATTTAACTGAGAAATGTTTTAATTTCTGATATTTGAAGCTGTTAACAATCAGGAATGTTCAGACACATTAGTCATAATGACCATCTTTTCCCCTATCGCGCCCCGCGCGAAAGGAATAGACGTAATGCCGCGAGAATGTGAAGGACGACCAAGGCGAACGAAATGGCGTCTTCTTACGCAATATTTTCACAATCCAAGTTGTTGCTTTTCTTCGCATGTCTCTTGATAAAGAGGCTTTAGCCTTCGGCCTCCGCGATGTACATAAAATGAATGGGTAAAATCCAGAACGGTTTAAGTGACATTTTGTAAATTCTGAGAAAAAGATTTTTATTTTAGGCTATATTTCAGTGGCAATTTATTTTCGGGGTGTTAATCAACAATTGAAATGTCGGGTTATTAATGAAACAAAGCACCACGACTTTACAATAATATGTATTTAAGTAAACAGATGTCTCCGAATTTATAAAATATCACTTATACCCTTCTGGTTTTCACCCGTTGAAATAAACTTGAGTTTGGGCAAGGCACAATTTCCGACTCATTTTACGACAAAAAGCTTTGTAAACTAAATCTCTTTATGTAAGTAAAATAGTCGTCTATATAGTTAACAAAGGAAGACCGCGGTTTTTGAACCAATTGCCACTTCTAGTGCCTTTCAACGCCTGCCTTTTAATGCAAATCAAACTTTTAAATCCAAATAATATTAATCCCTTTTTTATTTTCCCACATATTTGGGGGGTGGGGCAACTCTGCTTCGGTGATGAAATTTTAAAGCTGTTTCTTCACTGAAACAAAATTCACACAATGTTCGCAATTAACACAAGATATTATTATAAAATTCTACCGTGCAATTCAAGCTACGGAATTCTCAGTTGGTGGGTTCCCACCTGTTGTTCACATCTTTGATTCTTCAAATATTTGATAGTAATGATGATTTTTGTTAGTCGATTCGAAAGATGTACATGAAGACATTATGCCAAAAATGATTTACCAAGTGTAATTGCAGTAGCTTAGATTTAAAGTATAGTATATATAGCTGTGAAGAAAATCTGGAATCCAGTCGCCTATTTCCTGATGTGAAATGTAAATGGTAGTAGTGCGATCTGTCCTTGAATATCCTTAATTTTCATTTCAATTTTTCTTACCCGTCTTCATTCAACATTAAGAAGAGTAGGAATTTTCTACGTGCCATATTACAATACCACAAACAAAAAGTGGAGGATTTCCCTGAACAGTCTTCCATGCCCTCTCAGAAAATACCAATTATAAGAAAAGTCCTCGTTGGCACTTGTATTTATCTTCATTCGAAGGTAATCTAAGAAATTCTATTAGGCCTAGTAATAATATCTGCGCTATTGTTATTTCTAATGCATATTTGCAAACCATCGTAATTGTATAATATATTTTACATCAAAATTAATAGTGCATTTTTGCGATGTCTGAGTAAAAAGAATGAAACTCTTGGATTAATCACCCTAATGCACTTTTACGAATAAAGGGAAGTAGTGAAATCCTCGCGGTATTTTTATTTCTATTTTTTATTCCACGATATAACTGAATTGACATCACGAAACTCTAGTATAATACTTGTAGTAATAATGTAGTGAACGTACATTTGTGAAGATCAGTGACGAAACTAAAGTAAGGAACTAGAGAAATGGGAAATTACTTCTGCAAATGTCATCAAGCACCTGAAACAAAGGCGAGGGAGCTTCTCAATGTGTCCATGAAAAAGAGGGGGCCTTGAAGTGATTGAGGGTTAGAGGAGCGGTTTCCGAATATTTTTGGGACGGGTACCCTCAGCAAGACTTTTTCAAACAATTCTTGAAAAGGCAGCCCGTTCTCGAGAAACCCTATCGTTGAGATTCACATTTATTAACTACTGTAATACTGGTCGCTGGAATTTGTCGATGGAATTTGCAAAACGCAATGGAGTATATTTGTAGATAGAGAGTGTGTGTTCGGTAGATCCCGTGCTACTTCCACATCAGCATTAAAATTTTAGGAATGGAACGTTGATGCATTTCGTTGTGTGGTGTTCCTTTGCTACTGAGTACGCATTGCAAAGTGTCTTTTGTGCGGTTTTATTTGTTGGCTACGATTTTTTTTCTAGCATTCCTGAGATTTCGAGAACCCCTGTGTTCCTTAGCACAGGAAACTGTATTTGAATACACCCAATTTGCTCTAAATGTACACATATTTTATCTCGTGTGAGCTTCAGATGTCAAATATCTTAACTCTAACTTCATAATTATTGTCATTTGGGCAGTGTTTGCTATACCTCCATGAAAAACGATAAAATTGGAATAAGTGGGTTCAAATATTACATTTTCCCCAGAAATGGACATGGACCCTGATACTTAAAAGTACAAAAATTGTTAGTGAAAGTATCCGCTGAAAACAAATGATACTGCACCAAACGGCACGAAAAACGCAACACTTTATTTCAGCGCCACAAAACACGCAACAGACTTCATTATCCCTGGTTCTGGACGAATACAAAAATCGATCAAAGAGTTGACAAACGTTTTGAGAATTAATGCCTAATTTGTGCAAATTCTGTTTTTCTGGCCACGTGTTGTTGCAGATTTTGGGCTGCATGTATATTTGTTGCATAATGGATGTAAAACAATTGTATCACATTACTATCTTAAATAACACAAAATGCAAAAGAAATCTAATTTCTTCAGAAAATGTTTGTATTGTCTTTCGTGACGCTGAGTTTGTGTTTCGTCGTTGAATTAACGTGTTTGCGCTTTTAGTGCCAATGAGTGTAGATAGAAGCGATTGAAATGATTAAGCGGATCTGAACTGTCTGAAACAACGAATGGCAAAAAACTGCAACTACCCGCCTACTACATTGCGATACGTATCTAAAGTTTACGCTGAGAGCCGCAAGGGAATTGAATTCCTTGTCATTGACCCTCAAGGGACTGCGAACTAACCAGCAGTCGCCATCCGGCGCGGCCGCCACGGCGAGGAAAAGTCCAGAAAAAGCAGCCTCCGTGCAGGATCCGGACCTCCTGGGCGTGCGGCGAATCTGCAGCGTCACCTCCACAACCGACTAAGATTTGCGAGTCATTATCGTTCTCACTCTCCTAATGACAACAGCGGTAATTTCACAGTCTCTAAAACTCGTGATTGCAGGCCGCCAAGCAAACTGAGCGAACTAAATTCCGTTACGAGTTAAGTTTTTCTCGCCCAGGCTTTAAGACATTCTTCGTTTCGATTTTACGTGATACGACACAAGAAACGTTTCTTTTAAAGTACGATTTGAAGGCTATAGACGGAATATTTTCAACTGCAATGAAGATCCAAGTATTTGGAAATACAGTACAAATAGAAAATCGTAGAACAGGACCTTCTTTTTAAGAAAATAAACTTTTTTCTCTGAGAAAAATGATATATTCAATGGACACCATCATTTTGCAACGCAACAACAAGACTCTCAGTCGTTTTGGAAGTCTTTAGAAATGACGCACGACTGCCGACGATTAAGTTGTCCGTGTTTGAACACTTTTTCTGGACACTTCCTTTATTTTCTTTTGATTGCTATGTTAACTTTTATTACAATTTGACGCGCTTTTGACTATCAAAGTTGGTGAATGAGGCATCATTATTTTTAATTTGGCTAAAGTAAATTTATGTTTAATGAAAAAAAGGGTTTACGTGTCTAGGAAACGTCTAAAAGTAATAAAAATGACAGCATGAAATATTGTGGGTACTAATTTCTTATAAATTTAATCGACGGTGTTTTAATGAGAATTCATCGAATATTATTGGTGTTAAAAGACTTAGGAGTCATTTAGTAATAAAGGTTTCAGTTAATATTTTTACTCGCGAACTACTCGCGCCAAATGTTGGCGTCGGTGGCGCAGAGGATAAGAGCAGTATCCAAACCGCGGAGCCGCATCCTACGTAAGGAATGCGCGTTTTCACAATGTGGTTGTGGCATGCTTAAATGCTCACATATTTCATCTGAAATCCATAATAATTCGTTTGTCTTTTATTGACTCTGGCAATAAAATGACCCAAACTTAATGAGGTGGCTAAGGGCATCAATGATGTTACTGCAGTCCCTCTGACCGCGATGTCCTAGTGTTTGAGTCAAGACTATGGCAGGGAGTTCGACACTAGCTAGGTAGCTAGATTGAATTCAGCTGCTAACTGGAGGAGAATTCTAGAGGTCGGCTGCTCTGATCGGTTCGCTCTGATCGCTTTCCGTGGTTTCTCCGATTAACACTAGGTGAATGCTTAGTTTAGCAGTACCCAAAGAAACCGGCCATGGACCACGCAGGTATTTTCCTTGTCTTAAACGCAACCTTTTCTTACACACTTACACTTATTCGCAATACACTGCCGGGAGATCAGAGCTTGTGCTGGCTGGGACGGTGCCCGCTGGTAAAAGATACTTGGATGGGGGACAAGTCCCGCTAGCCGACGTGTAGGTCGTCGGAGGATCTCACTATCCAGCTGGAGAAAACACCGCCACCTCCCGTGATTAAAAGTATATACTACTCTTACGGGACTAATGGCCATACCCGTTGACGTGACCGGATACATCAAATAATCATTAAATTAATTAATCAAGGTCACCTTTCATCAAGCGAAAAGTATACCACTACTCTGATAATCTGTCCAAGGAAAATAACAGCGTAAAATAGTAGCCTTCTCTCCACCTACGTTTAGAAATGAGTAAAGTATTGTTCTCCTTCTGCTGAAGTATTTATGCAGTGCCTATTACGCCATTGTTCTCATCTGGTCTCACCACCGTTTCCTCGGGCGAACAAGATTTTTTCATCCTTGTCAGAGGTTCTGAAGGAATGTTTTTTGGCAGACGTTTCTCCTGCGTCCTTCTCAAGTATTCTGTACAGAAATTTCGGTGGTCATTTATTTTCTCTTGAAGGCGTCATCACTAATTTCTTCTTCGGTTTTTGTATTTCGTTTTCTTGCAGTCCCGAGCAAATGTTTGTCGGTTGTCCCTTTGTCATTTCCATAAAGACATGTTACATTACGTAATACGTACTTAATAGAATTTTATCGTAACTTCCTTTCTCACTTCATTTCTCGTTGTTGGTATGGTTATGTCACACAGTTTTTATTGTATAACTATGTTTCCTCTATCCCAGGAAGTTGGAATTTGGAGCTTTTTCTGCCCTGACTTTCATTGGGGAAGTACTATGCAGATTTACATATCAGCTGGACCTTCTGTTATTCACACAGTGCGTTTTGTATTCCATTTTATCACCTGATGATTTAAATTAATCATCTGCGAATATAATATTTTGGTTTCTTTCTTGTCCTACGTTTATGTCCACATATTTAATCCTTCACCTAAATAAATTAAACAGTACTGGGACAGCATACTTCCGTTTTACGTGTTTACTCCCTCTTAAACAGAATTATTCAACAATACCGAACCGATTTCGAAGCCTTACTTCTGAGTTCTCAACCAACTTCCCGAAATGTCTCATGCCATTCAAAAGAGCGAGTTTATAAGTTTTGAATGGTCGCCAGCAGAGCGCTCTGGATGTCTCGCACCGGATAGGGCGTATTCGTCATCCCTCGTGTATCAGCATTTCTTTACAGAATTCCATCCGCTTTGATTTGTCATTGCGTGTAAGCGCAAGATGCATGCCGTGTGTAGTTGTCTTCGTTCCTTATGTGTTTACGTCTTTGTAAAACACGTGAGATAATGGGTAACTGAGGCCACTCGAGTTGTTGATTTTCGAACGCCTGCCACATTGATTTTACTCGAAACTCGGATCCATAGAGAACTTTTTCCTTTGCGAAGATATGAACTGTCCTGAAACTGACCAAAACACCGTTGAATTTTATTACTACTCCACTCATGAGCTATTTGTTTCAACACGGCCAATAGCATTTCATAATATGGTGGTTATAAACCAACCGCGGACGCCCTTAATCGTAAAGTTTACATGAGTACTTTTCGCTATCATCGAAGATGACATTCAAATTTTCGGAAAATAAATAAGTATTATTTCCGTGACGTAAATTGCTGTAATCAAAATAGCGTCTCGAACACTCCACAAAGAAATGTTTCTTCAGTATATATTGTATGCTACATTTAAAAAACGACTAATTTCCTTAAAATTCACTGAAAGAAGGATTTCTTCTGTTAAAGACATAAAAGGTAATAATACTACGATTTTCCGTTTTTGAGATTCACTAGTTTCCTTCCATCATAAATAGAAGTGTATAAGTTCCGTTTCTTTAAATTATCTTAGAAAAGGTGGTGAAATCGATGGTATTAGAGGCAAAATGATGAAAAATGTATATTTTTAAATTTTATGAAAATATAGAAGCAGTTTTTAAAAACTTTATGAAAGGATTTAACGAAACAATGACGTTAGAATACACTGTGAGCTCCATTTGAAATATCACATGCTGTAATATTTGAAATTTTCTGAAATTAATCCTACGAATTCAATTTATTGGTTTATCTTCGTTCTCTTCGCATTAACTTTTCCCCCATTTCTTAGGGAATTGTCTAATCTACATCATCGCCATCAAGATGCCATGAGAAACAAAAAAGTATTTTAGAACTGTGAAGAGGAACCTTCTGTAGCTTCTGCTTCGCGGACACACGAATCGAGATTACGACTCGTCAGATCCCGAGGGACGATGTGAACATGAGCAGAAGGAAGGGCATAGCTGACTGTATGTACTTTTACAGAGAGTCTAAATACTATTTGCGCTTTCTGTAGTTACCGTGGTTGAGATACTCAAACCTTTGTCTGCCAGGGTTGAGAATTTTGCAAACCGTCGAAGATACCTACTTTTCATTAATATTGAGGAACTATGTAAGGTGAATGGTCAGAGAATCGGTGGAAGGGGTCAAGAGAGAAAAGGGAATAATCCCACGTGTTCTCTAATTTTTTAGATAGTACCGAAGCAGCCGAACTTTCTCAGCCAGAAAGGCCACTTTATTCACATTAGTTGATTCGTTGGTGTCGTAAAGTCTTGCCGGCAGATATCTAATCCACTTAAATAATATTGATAAATTATATTTCAGTTCTGTAATTGTTAATCCAGGCTCAAAAATGTGAAGTGGCTGTTCTTGTGAATTTTCTTTGTATTATATGACATTGCGATTGTGGCCTCTAATATTTAAAATACTCATTGTGATATTTCTGCAGATTTTACGGAACAAAATAAAAACAACTATTTTAACATCACGTATTTTCTTTATTTATTTTGCCTCTGAATTTTAAAATTCAGTTTGGAATGAATGTAGCGACGCCAATTATATAAAGAGAAATCCAATTAAAAGCCGTGGAATGGAAAGCATATTCACGCTATGAATAGCGATTAACGGATGAAATTTTTTGTCGAGTCGTGCAGTTGTAGAACAATGCAATGGGCGTCCAAGCTCACGTACTCGCACGTGTGTTAGAATACAACATCATGTAAAAATTATATCCGTATTTTCAGCACGATCCACGTACTGTTATATAAAGATGACGTATTGTTGTAACTTATGCCCACCAATGAATGATATCAAATATGAAATTTAAAAAAATATATGTACTTAGAATCCAGATGCCTCATAGTGTGTACAGAGTTCAAAATTACAAAATGAATATTAGAATCCAACTGAAAGCTGCCTACAGGAAAGTTCTTTTCTCATCGCAGAATATCAGAGAGGATCATGTATCCTGAAGGAAGTAGTTTTCGGGAAAGACGTTCCGCAAAGTGGGTGCGGTTTATATGAACAACTGGCCTTGCCTTGCAAATCACTATCACTATCATTAATGTTTCGCTTTGTATTCAAGTTTGTAAATAATAGTGAATGTAAGGGTAATATCGGAAATACTTGTCAAACAAATTCCTACATTTCCTAACATTAACATTAAGTAGCTCAATAACATCTAATAGCTAATAACAATAGAAATTACTTCTTAATGCATGCATATCTCTATTATTTTTTTTATAAAAGTATAGTTAGGTTTGAACGACGTATGTGAAGAGGGCATTGAACGTTTGGGAAAAATTCGCTTGATATATGTACTTTTAAACCGACTGCGGAAATAAAAATTGGCAGCAT